TGTGTGCCCAGTAACTTTAGAAAATAAACTATTTGAAAATGTTTTGTTCCCTAAAAGTGGTAAACATTCCATTTGAATCACATTGAAACACTTAGTTGTTTAGCAAATCCATTTAGGTGTGGTTAATGCCAAGTTAAACTACAGTGAAACTCATTTAAGAACCACTTACTTACTGCAGTGTAAATATAAGAGGTATATTTGTTTGTACCTTAGTTATTCTCTATCTAAAATGGGGACTGGCAGGTGGATATTAAAATAATGTTATTACAGTGGTTGGGTTTGGGGTTGGGGTTGGAAATGGGGAATTACTGAAGACGGTTACAAAGATCTCATTGTGATAAAAATGTTCTGAAATTGGATTGCGCTGCTGGTTGCACAACTCTGTAAATTTACTAAAAGTCATTGGATTATAAATTTTAAATGGGTGAATTTTGTAGTTATGTAAATTAAACTTCATTACAGCTGTCAAAAACATTACTGATATGCACGCATTAAGGATTCTAAATCTCCTGAATGTGATAAATAACTTGCAGTCATTTATCCAGTAACAGTTCATAGAGAAATATGCTAGGTACAGGTAAGTTATATGCCAGTGCTTATGAGAATTTAATATGTTTAAGAATCATGAATGGATAGTAAATGTTGATTCTAGTTCAGTAAATCTTGGTCTGGGTCCATAATTCTACCATTTAAACAAACTTTCAGGTAATGCCATAAGGTGGCTGAAAAACCACATTTGAATGTCAAAGTTCTAGGAAGGGAGGTGGGTAATAATGAAATAAACAAATAAAAGCTCAAGACAGTTTCTCATATATATTATATAACCTTCAAAACAACTCTATAATTTAACATTCTTTCAAAATATTTGGTTCACTGCCTACTACATATCAGGCATCATGATAGGCAAAACAGAGACACAATTGTGAGCAAACCACTATTTCTGATCTCATGGAATTTACAATCTACTGCTAGACGTACTTTACCCTCCGAATGACCCTATGAGGTATGTAATAAAATTCTTTTTATTTTATAGAAGCAGAAGGCCACACAGCTCATATCAGTGCTGGGTCTCAAGCCGAAGACATCATCTCAACACTATACTGGACTATACTTCCCTCAAAATCATTGTTACATTTTAGAAATGAGAGACTTAGACTGCATTTATCATCACAGAATATTATGTTCTCTTGGACTTTGGTGCCCTTAGTGAGTTATATTGCCTATTTGTACTGTTTACTGGCTTGGCTCTTTCCTCTTTCTGGGTTTTGTAATATTAAAGCAGTCTTTGTGCTTATATGGAAGATCATTATTTAGGCCTACATTTCTTTCTCTTCTTTGCTACCAATTTCAGCAACCTTCTGAGGATCTATTTATACTCTCTTCTCCTGGGAATTTGAAGTTCATCTTCATTTATCATCTGCAGATGTACGTGCCTCATGCCACTTACTTCCTTTTCTCAGTGCACTAATCATGTAGTTAAACAACACGGAATCCAACACTGACCCATGAGTTCGGCTCTTCAGATTCTGAGCTCATTTTATGTCAATAATCCATTCCTTCAATGATGTCTTAGTTTAAAGTGCTCAGAGCTGGGACAAGAACGAACTACTGTTGTTTACAAAAGAATATAAGTTCCTAGATACATATAGGATAAATATTTGAAAATCAATAGCTTATTTGCATGAATATGAACAATGATGGAAATACAAAATGGGACATTATATCCTAGTATATTTGAACAATTAACAGTAACCAACATTTGTTGAAGATGAACAATCACTTGATTATATTATTAGTATATCTAATTGTAAAAATTATCTTTCAATATCACCACCATTACTTTGCAGGCCAGAAACAGAGAGCCAGTATTATAAATTGTTATTATGTACTGTTTAAATTAATACTTATGTTTTTGGTTGGTATTTTAACTGACTTGTTAAGAAACTAGCCATACTACTTTTCTAATTTGGAATATGAAACTTGTCAGTACTCTCCCAAAGAATAATTGATTTGGAAAGTTTGAACAAGAGTACGTCTCCCCAAGGAACAATTGACTCTAAAAGAACCGATAATTTGAGTTTTTACCAGTTACCTTGAAATAAGTTTTATGAAACAAATTCCAGTTTGTACAAAGCTGAAGGAGAACAGAGAATTAAATAAAAATTCATGTAAACCACCTATAGTATAGTTTCAAGACAATTATATTAAGTACACAAATCTGGTTTGAATGGGATGCTTAGAAGATGGGCAGAGTGCTAAATGTGTAAGTAATTATGAACTTGGCACAGTAGCTCTGTTTATTTTAAGCTCTCTTTTGCTGCTTTGGTTGAGAATGTTTACTTAACCAGACTCTATTAAACATGCTAAAAACATTATTGCAGATTTTGTCTCTGTGAGCACTTTCAACTGACAAACTACAGAAACAATAAATCATCGGGCATGGTAGATGATGGCAGATGGGCTAAAGCAGACACAAAGTGGACAGGCAGGTATCTCTTTATCTTGGACTTAAAAAAAAAAATCAGTTGAATTAAGTGTTTTTGAAAAGCAAAGGACTGATAGTACTGGAGACTGAAGTCTTCTGTTTTGCAGACACCAGGCTCTGAGCAGAGAGCTGCTGAGCAAGTCCCTCGCTAGCATGCCTTGACCTGCAGGAACTAGATGATTAGCCCTCTACGGTGTCAGGGAAATCCCATGCTAATAACTACTGCGTGGAATATAGTCTCTAAATCTATACTTGATGCAGTTACTGAAAGAGCCTGATATGTACATAACACTTTGACCATCCATGATGCTATCGAAGCATAGGAAAGAAGGAAACTTGTAGGTTTTTCACAGTGCAGGAACAAGGAACTGGGAATCCCAGAAACTTCTGTCAATAATGATCCACGTGGAAACCCAGTTTTTAGCTTTACTATTTCTTTTCCTTCCTCCTCCTCCTCTTCCTTTTTTTCTTCTATCTTCATCTTTATCTTCTTTGTTGTTCCGTCTTTATTTAGCTTTATTGAGGAGGGAGGCTTCTTACTTCCATTTTAAATAATTCCAGTGGTATTTCCTGATAAAATTAGTTAGCTACACACAAACATTTAAACTAATTATTAAAAATAATTTGACTTTTTTCTCTATAAAATTTTAAATATTAGGTTCTCACAAAGTAAGAATTCTCGTATTAACAAAGTTCACAGTAGAGAGGCGGTGATTTTATTCTAAATGATGAAGCTGAAGAATTTTTGCCATACACTATATTTATTATAGTAAACTTGAAAGGCAGTGAATTGGCAGGCAGGAAAAAAACCCATCTGTTTATCTTTACAATTTACATAAATCTCAACCAGAAAAAAAAGGATTTTAGGGCATGGCTATCACAGAAATTATCTGATATGGTTTTCTGAAGTTTATTGACAAAAACCACTCCAGTCACAAATCCATTTTAAGTGGTGTGTGGTCTTGGAGGAAAAAATAACTTTAATTTTATTTATCTGAAAATGGGCATTCTAAAATAGTCCTAACAAGGTTTATAGGAGGTTGGGATTAGAAAATAAGATCACGAGAGAATGGTTATATGCTATATCCTTTTCAAAAAGCAGAATGTGATATTTAAGTAACAAAAATGTACATTTTTAAATGAATTAAAAAACGAAATGTTTTTGAGATCCAAATAAAATGTATTATCATTGTATAAAGTTGTTCACATATATAGAGTCCTTGTGTACCATGGAATACTTCTTACAATAGAGTTTATGATGTAAATAATAAACTTTATATGTCAGTAACCACAGCACCACTTAGGAGAAAAAAGAAAGCCTAAATACATATCAGTTATTTGCATTTATAGAAAACTGCTAAGATGTTATAATAATGAATTAATGCCAAAAATTTAGGAACAATTAAATTCCAGTATAGGCTAGTAAAAATAAGGAACAGGACTTCAGAATCACACAGATCTTGGACAAGCTACATAACCTCTTCTAACCTTATTCTGTTCATCTGCAAAATGGGGAAAATGATTTCATTAGTACAAAATTTTCAAAAAGTTTACCATTAACAATACTCTATTGTACATGGGAAAGTTGCTAAGAGAGATCTTAAAAGTTACTGCCACAAAAAAATTGCACCTATGTGAGGTGATAGGTGTATTAACTAACCTTATTTGTGGTAATCATTGTATATATATATGTATATGTATGTGTGTGTGTATGTAATCATCATGTTGCACATCTTAAACTTAGATAATTTTATAAGTCAATTATATCTCAATAAAGCTGGGAAAAAATTTTCAAGAGGACTTTCATGAGCTAACTTATTTCATGACCTAAGCCCAGTGCCTAAATGTATTCAACTAAAATAGTTTCCTTTACTTTAGACAGTGGGAATATTCTTTCCAAGGATAAGAGACATGTTTCATTTATATTTGTAGCTGTCAGAGTGCTTGGTAGAGCACCTTATCCCTGTAGACATTCAATAAAATCTGCAGGAAAAATGAAGAAGAGAGGGAATAACCTAGTTCCAATTCTAAACTAACTTCTGATCTAGCATAAGAGACAGAACTTACGTAAGTAAACATTTATGTTTAAAATTTACATATACAATAAATACTACCCTAAAGGCACACACCAGCTGCTAAATTATTAAAATTAGGAAAGGAGTTTGTTTTGTTGCTCAGTAGGCATTTTAATATGAGAATTCTATGTCTCTTCATAGTGCTCCTAAAAATAAGGAAAAAATATAGGCAGAAAGACTCACCAGGAGATCCGTACAATAATCTGGGTGTTTAGGGCATGGACGTGGCCAAGACTGTGGAAAAGCATAAGGACAGGAATTTAAAGACACCGAGTAGGTATCCGTGGAACCTGGGAGCAGTCTGGAATGGTAAGCGAACGGATCAGGCCGCAAAGCCCAGAGTCTCTGCCTGGCAACGAGGATGCTTGGAAAGCAGAATAGATGACACGGGGGAGGTCCTGGGTCCCCCCTCCACTTTTTTCCATGTTTAAATTTAGGAGATGGCAGAACATCTAAGTAAAGATGTTCCATAAACAGAAAGAAAGCTGTGACAGGAGCATATAAAAGGTCAGGGCAGAAGAGAAAGATCTGGAAATTGTCTGCACGGAGGTAGGTGGTAAATAAAACTGGGGGCTCAAGCATCCTGACTTGGTCAGAGGATTTGAGTGGCAAACCACATAAACACTTCCTATTTTAATTACATTTTACACATTTTACATTCTTATCCGTTTACAGCTTGAGGACAACTTGAGAAGTTTCTGGTCCAATTCCTTCATTTTACAGACTGGCAGAAGACCGGAGGTGTGATGTGACGTGTGAAGGTTATTAAGCAAGTAAGTTTCCATTTGCTCACATAAGTACAAATATAGATGAGTACAAATATGGGATGATTTAAAATTTTATATTGATAAGTATTTCTATTTACAAATCCTCAATCCTGTTTATGACTATATTTTAGTCATACTTGTGCTGAGTTAAAATATACATATACTTTAAATGATTGACCTAAAGCTATATACACTACCATAATTGGGAAACCCAAAGTTTTCAACAAGTATTAATGTGTCCTTTAAAAAACAATAGGCTGATGGTATTGAAACATATTCACATTTAGAAGCCCTTCCTTACGTTAGTTGGATTGAGTCAGAATAACCTATAGGTAATAAAGGATGTTTTCTAAACCTCAATTTGAGGACATATGAGATTCTTATCTTTTTTAAAGTTAGTCCCAGACATGTTATATGTTTAAGTTAAATGTATGATGTGGGCACTCAAAACTAGAAAAAAAGAGGTATACTTTCCAAGTCACCTTTATATACTTGGGTAAAACCAAAGGAGAAAGAAACCTAGCAGAAACCCAGCATGGCTATATAATCTAAGAGCTCAGCTTTCAGTTGTTTATTTGGAAAAATCACTCCATCACTGTCTTAGCACTTAATCCTAACTGCACAAGTTATTCAACTGACATTAGTCAAAATTTTTTAAAAGGCAAATTAATTTAACTACAAGTTTTACATTGGATTTTTTTTGGGGGGGGTAACATAACCTGTGATTGAATATGATGTCCAATGACAGAAAACTGACTAGCTATGACATTCCCTTTCCGCTTACACATAAATATTGTTTCATATTCTACCCCTAAAGATCCTAAGAAGCAATCATAGTTCCTTTGGCCTGAAAATCCTTTCAATATCTGAAGAAGGCTACCAGGTTCCCTCTGAGTTTCCATGTACCCTGGTTATTTCTCCCATGAATTGTTCTAAATGCCTTGCTCAATTGGTTTTTCTCCACAGTATTTGCCCCTGTTCATTTCAGATTTTCTGTAATGAGGTACAGCATACTAGAGTATACAGAAGTTAACTCAGCAGTTGGACAGATCTTGGAGTTTCTAACAGTCTGTTTGACTGTATATAATTTACTTAAGCTCCCGAAGCCTCAATTTTCTTATGTCAAGTTTGAAATAAGAATAATGACCTCAGGGTCCTGTTGTAATAACAAAATGAGATCATATGTGACTAGTGCCTATTCTAGCTCTCATCAAACCTACGCCTCTAAAGAAAGTCAGACCTGTGCAGGTACAAAGAGGAGCCTCATCACCTCCTAGATTCGGGTATCATACATTATCTAGAAACCAAGGAGAACTGAAATATTTACTTAAATATTTGCCTATTTCACATGTGCACACACATACATCCTCCATAAAGAATTCAGAGTGCAACTGCACAAAAGGTATTTGCATTGAAAATACTTTGCAACAGAAAGGACAAACATACAAAAGGAAAAAGGACTCCATTCTGGCAAAAGGTATAGCAGAGACTGATGAAAACAACTGACATCAGTCATGTTGCACTCTTAGTTTTTTTTTTTTATGTTACCATCTAACTTACTTTATTATTACAATATTACTAAAAGCAATATTACTTTTGTACTTTTCTTCTTATTCTAATTTATATTTAATTTTAAGGTTTTATAAATGCCGTATCTGCCATTGTGCATCTCATTACCAGGTAATATATTTATCAAGGAGAAAAAAGTGTAAGAATAAGCAAACCAAAACCCCTACTATATTGTCAAACAGTGTGAGCTGCTTTTCTTCTGAAATGATTTCCTTCTGTAAGACAATATTTGTTCTTGAGTGATTTGCATATTCCTTATATGATTACCTTACTCCATATCTTCTAGCTTCCGTAGTTCCCTTACTCCAAAATATAGTAATTTCAACCTGTTGCTCTGAAAGATGGCAATGATTGAATTCACACACACACACGCAACCTGTGCAGTAGAAAAATACTGCTGACACTGCCTAAATTTCACTATGCCCCCTGAGTTTCTGTAACGGAGCCTGTTAAGCATCTGCCAGTAAGAAGACGCCACATTTTTTTCAGCATAGGGCAAATAAGAAAACATTCTTTCAGCTGCACTCATATTTCTGGTAACATCTGCACAATGTCTTCATGTCAGAGACCAGAATTAAATATTCTCCCCTTAACGTGGAATGCCCAGCCTGGTCTCTCTTTCAATATCCTCAAGGCTCACTCTCTATTAAGCATGTCCCAATCCCCAACCAGCATATCAGATTTTTTTTTTGTGTGTTCCCATTTTCTACTTTACATACTTCAGTCAGAGTATCTATAAAAACCTAAACGCTCTAATTTGCTTGTTTAGCTGTCTTTCTCTTTAGACCATAAACTTTCTGAGGGAGGGAAAAGTGTCTTACTCATCCTAGAGGTCTGGAACATTACCTAGCTCAACATTTTTTCCCTCTCCAGTGAATCTCTTTATTCAATTATTAGGGCAAAATTATGTAGTGAAATGACTGGCATTGGAATTTAGAAGTTCTGGGTTTCAGCCCCAGTACTCTCAGTTATTAATTGATGTCTTTGGGGAAGTTAATTAACTTCTAGGAGTACCTAAAAAAAGGAGGTCCAGCTAAGTCATTTTAGTCATCTTCCTCGGTTTGAAAGTTCTGAACTCAGTGCTCAAGAATCTCTAATATACTTTATAATATAATGGAAATAATGAAATATTTTTTGAAAGTATATTAATTAGTATACCATTCTAACCAATAAGATAAAATGAGACTGGGTCATTAATGTTGTTGAACATGAAGTTACCATGCAGATGAACATAAAATTAAAGTTTTCTCTCACATTTTAAGTACAGGTTCAGGCTGCTTGGGTAGAATTTACTATACTTCATGGCTATGACATTAGGAGTGCCTGAGAAGGGACAATGTCCTTCCAGAATGATCTGGATTGCTCTCAGAATATCTCCCGTGACAAGAGAATCTGGCTCACCATGTCCATGGGTTATGTGTGGGCGGGCCACGTCTGAATCACTGGCACCAGTGCCTAATGCCACACGTAAAACCCCTAAACCTCAAACTATTAAGTGTTGAGCAAGATATTTAGCAACAGTGGGAATTCTGAAAGTACATCTTATTTTGGCTTAGGATACTTAAGGGAAAGAATAAGTTTTTAGGTTTAAATTGAACATTGAGCATCATTATCACGGTGCTTTCACATGGAAGCCAGGCTGTTAATAAGGAGAAAAAAGCAAATTGCTCACTTTTCAAGCATACGTTTATATGGGGAGTAATTGGCCCACCTTCTTCTGTTTCTGTTGGTTGAACAACATTACTGAACACCCAAATGAGGTCAGCATTCTAAAATTAGTTCTTACCCCTTGTTTTCAGTAAAATGAAGTAGCTCTGTAAACTTACAAGAAGACTTTGCATAAAGAGGTGAAATTTTATGAAGCTGCCATCAATAAGGTATAGAAGAATTGTTAAAATTTGCTTAATTCAAGCTAATATGGAATAGAAAGAGAGACACAGATCGACATATTATGCTTAAGAATGGTTTCCTAAATATTTAAGAGTTTCAGCAGGGAGTCCCTTTAGTCTCAGATTTAGGCATCAGTTTTATTATTTTACTACAATAATGAGAGTGAAAAATTATTTAGCCAAACCAAGCAGACAGGATAGGGATTTGTAGATCAGATGATGGCTATTAATTTATCATGGGAGATAAACTGTGCCTCTTTCTTGAAGGACAGAGCACTCTTGAGACCACATAACAAACCCAAACCCTGTTGAGTGAACCATAAAAGGGGGAATTCAGTTTGCCAAAGAGAGATTTACATCAAATTAACATATCTTGAGATGTTATTCTTCTTCCCTGCAGGGGTATTTCTGTCTAGACACCTAGGAACAGTCATTAGAATCCATGCGCTTCACTCTGAACAGGACTGACAGTACATAAATAATTTGCACCTTCTAACTCGTTTTTACTATAGTGTTTTCCCTACATTATGCCCCTATAGTGAGTTATGTTTCATCCCCTATTTTATTAGAACATTGTTTCTCAGAGACAGTTTCAGAAAGCTTTTTACTTCTGTCTCCATTAACCTCTCCATGTGGTGGGTGCTGGTCTTATCAGATCTCCTTGTTCAGAGGATACTTTTTTAAACTTTTACTTGCAAAATCACAAGGGGTATTTGCACACAATGAGGAGAGAGAAAGTGAAGAGAATAATAAACTTACAATCTTACTTACTTATCCTATTTTTGTCCCCTGGAAATACTACTAAGTCTCTAGAATTCCTTCAAAATGTATAATGTTTGTTTATATAAAGCTATGTATTATTATATTTTACTTCTTTCACAACTAATTAAGAAAAATAATTGAGTATTAGTCTCTTAATATGTAAATGCCATTAAAATCAATGTAATAAGAAGTCACTTGAAAAAAGTCAGAACTTAGAATTTAAATGTCTTTGTAAAAATTAAATTGAAGAATTTAGCTATAGTTATGTGACATTATTAATTTTACTACAAATGTATACTATTTTAATCTTTAATTTGGTTGTGAATGTACTACTTTTAGAAAAGAGGTGATTGAAATAATACAAACCAGTAATCAGCTCAAATTTTGGCCAACTTTGGCAAAGTAGTTGGGTTTCTTAAATATATATTATGGACCTCCTAAAGTTGATTTTTTTTCAAATTATGTTTACATTATTGGTAATCTGCCCCACAGATCAGTGTCTGAAGACAAGCAACAATCAGAAATCAATAAACTTTCCATTAACTTTTATTGAGCATCTAGTCAAAAACTTTAGTCAGTCTTAGAAAAGAAAAATCAAACATAATTTCTGTTTCAAAAACTCAGAATCTTTCAGAAAAATAGATATGATATAACTAATGAATATGGAATCACACAGTGGTATTCATGTTCTAAGGCAGTACTGTCCACTAGAAATAAATTGCAAGCCATAAATGAGAAGCCACATATGTAATTTTAGAATTTGTAGCAGGTCATATTTAAAAAGCA